TTGACACAAATGTTTGTAGAGAGTTCGGATCCACTGACCCACTGGATGGCTGCTCAATTCCAACTCCCACAGTTGAACACTGTCTTTGTGACCTTGGGCAAGACACTTAACCCATCTGTTGATTAATGACATTGTATTTTGCTATGAAATATCCAAAAGGTAAATGCCTAAATGTTAAACCTGATCATTTCTAACAGTGACTAGAACCATGAACTCTCTATATTACAACAACAAACAGCATTATAACAGTATTCAATTCATCTGCCCTCCATCTGCATTAAATAATATGAGCCTATAGAATGTTGTGGTGTTGAGGTGTGCGAACGGGTGAGTGGTTCCTTGATGTAAAGTGCTTTGAGTGCCTTGAAGATGGAAAAGCGCTATAGAAAAATGTGACCATCTATTATGTCCATTTACGTACAGTAAAAGTCCTTTTTATAGTGTCTCCTTCCATTTCAATTCGTTCACATGAAATACACAACGTTTTACAGAGAAGATTGTATTATCATGTTATTATTCTTGTAACTTTAGGAGCACGAACTGACCCAAAAACACCAAATTGAGTTGTGCCTTGTGTCTCACCTTAAAGGGACAGTCCGGGATTTTGGACATAGGACCTCATTTCCTAGTGAGCCAGAGTGTTGGAGACGTGTGGAGACACTTTTCAAAATATTCCATCCAGTCCTTGTATTTGCAGAGGTCACTTACTCACTTGCCCACTCCACAAAACACCCAAAGCAAATCTATTGATACACCAGACTGTCCATGTGAATGTCTGTGTTGATAGAATAATGTTTGAAATAAAACTAACCTTGCATCTCATGAATCGTCGCATGTTGAGGGACTATTTTCTCAGCAGCAGCGGAGTTTTACTTTGTCGGTAAGATAAGTGCTAATCAGTTCGCCGCTGCCAAGCTTTCTATCAGGAAGTACAACTCAGAGTCACGTGACTAGTGCAAAGGCGTGTTGAAGACGCTCCTAACTAGGGATGGGCATGATTAGTCGATTAATTGATAATTGATCATTAAGAATTTCATCGATTACGTTCATTTTAATCGACAAACCGAATGTAGGTTGCTGTGCGTATCCTGACCAAACCAGGTCCGTACATGTCGGTCAGCCTGCAACGTACTGAAGTGCAAATGCGAACAATGTGCAACGATGACTTGTACAAGAAATTCCATGCTTTCCGGTCGGGACAAGTGTGAGTCCATGTGCACAGTGAACAAAGCAGCACATATGTTTCGGTGTCCAGTGGGAAAAGTTTTACCAGGTGAGAGTCGCGCAATGTCGATGACGAGTCCCCACCTCCCTCCCCCCGTACGGTGTCCTGGTTTTGACAAACGCAAATATGGCCACACTAACCTTTGTTACACTGAGTCATGTCTTTTAATCTGACAGAAATTGAACTGCATCAGCGACACAAGAGCTGTATTTTTATCTTCGCTTAGTTTATGCGAATTAGCGATGCGGTTTTAAGTTTTGTTTCTGTGAGAGTTGCGCAAAACTGAATTAAACACATTATAATCTAAAATGGGCTGATGTGGCTCTAGAGTGATTACAGTTTATATGTCGTAAAGTTGAATTTAGTTATGCAGATTAGTAGTGCAGATAGTAATAATAATGATGATCATTTTTATATAAAAACATTAATGATTAATCGATAATCGATCGTTAATTCTTCTAACGATCGATTAAGAAAATTTCATTGAATGCCCATCCCTACTCCTAACACTCTAACCCTTAATGTATAGTTTTTGCCTCACACTAGACCTCTTTAATTGGGGCATTCTATCCTCTACATACTGGCCATTCACTTGTATGTACCAAACTACAAGATGTCGAACAATAGCCACGGAAAGACGAGTGACACCACTTACTCAAACAAACAATGGCTAATGAGGATACACGTAGATGAGCCCAACACCTCCTCTCGGTGGTAGCCAATCTGAAAAGCTCAGTTGAGCAATAACTTGATGCCCTCAACAACACAGTAAAAGACATTAAAAAGGAGACGCGTGCCATTGCAAATCATATCTCAAATGTAGAAAAATGCATTAGCGATTTAGAAGATGAGTAATAGGTTCCCTCACTGAAGAAAGGAAGTACAACTCTCTGCTGCTGCTCAGACATAAATCCTTCAAATGCAAGGTTGATTTTACTTCTAAAATTATTTTATCGACACAGACATTTACATCGACAGTCTTGCATAATGATTTTTTTGTTGTTTTGGGTGCAGTTACGTTTACACTGAAACAAATCACCGAATCACTGTATTAGAAACGATTTGCGTCCAGACACCTCGTTTCTGTGTCTGCAAGCCTTCCCTTTCCACACAGCTTTGAGCATACTTTACGTTTTACAGAAACGAAACTTAAAACCACATGGCTAATGTGCATAAACTAAGCGCTCAAAAAACAGCTTGCTCCTTGTGCACTGATGCGGTTCATCTTTTGTTGGACTTAAAAAGGACACAACTCAGTGGAACATATGTGTTCTTTCCGTGACAGAGGGGTGTTCTGCTGATGGTGAGTCTGTTCTGTGTAAGTAGTTCTAGGTACGCTGTTTCCCGTTTGTCTCTGGTTTGTTTAAAACCTTTTTTCCCGCAATAGCGTCACATGATCAAGTCACAGTGACGTGGTCCAATAAGGATGCAGCTAGAGCTCTACGTCAGCATATCAATGTTTTCAGGCGTCCACACAGTGCTGGGGTGGTATAGGAGTTTGGCCCCACGGTGAGGTGTCAGAATCCTATTATGGTATGTTGACCCCCCCTATGAAAATCTTTATTTTATTAATAAAAAACTTGAATTCTATAGAAAAAACTTTGAATATTAATACTATATCTGCAAATTAAAACATATTTAAAAGTGTTTTTTGAAGAACTCAGATGCTTTTTTATGTGGATTATAACTTTTGAATGTTAAAAATGACTTAGTTGTTTAAACATTCTTTTACATACTTAAACATATTTTACAGAAAATGAGATAAGTAGTTATTAATTAGTTAGGTAATCAAAGTGATGTATAATGATTTGGAATCTGACCCCCCAATATGTTTATTATAGTTATGATGATGTAAAGTAAGAAGTAATATTAGTTGAATATTGACAATGATCAATTATATATAAAGGAGGTCAAAATCCTGTGACTATAGTAATCTGACCGCCAATATGTTTATTATAACACAACATGACTGAATTCAAGGTCGTTATTCTTACAAACCATTGCCTAAATTGACATTATGATTAAGGATTATCTGAACATAACAAACTAAAAACCATAACAATGTAAAATACAATATAAAAAGTGACAGGACAATACATTACGTTTACACAAAATACCAAGTCGTTCACCATCAAAACATTCCTTAAAATATCTTAAAAGAAAGTGAATATGTAACAATATATAATAAAAGTAAATGACATGAGAAATAATGATCAGATACGTAACTACTAAAGAAAAAAGTAAGGGGAGTCAATATGGGGGGTCACTTTACTATAGCGGTATGTTGATCAGGGTCAGTGTAATATGGGGGTCAAAATACTATCTCACACCGGATCAGATCAGTACTCAGATGAATTTGTGGGAGCTGATGATACCAGATTGTTCTGTCTCTGTAGCCATTTTCCATCAGATTAGTGTGAACGAACACTGCATCCGCAACGAAAATGACTCAAATACGTTCTAGTGTGGATGGGGCCTAAGACATTGACATGCACTAGCCTAGCACCGGCGATCTCTGCAAATACAAGGACTGGATGGAATATTTTAAAAAGTGTCTCCACACGTCTCCAACACTCTAACTTGGAAATGAGGTCCTATGTCCAAAATTCCGGACTGTCCCTTTAAGAAGTAGAACAAACTTCATATGGTGGATTACTCAAGCAAGCAAAAATAAATAATAATGAAATACACTAAACAACATAAAACATTTAGAAGCTTAAAAGGTCATCTTTACATAAGACAGGATCTACAAAAGCTCACATGTTGTATTCATGCTTGCTGGAGCTCTCCACGTGCCTCCTGCTGATATCTGTTCAGACTCCAGTGTTAGCTTTGGGAATAATAACAGAGATGAATACAAAAAAAACCAAAAAAAAAACAGTCCTGACTTTTAAAAATGGGATTAGGAAATTTGATGAGTCACTGTCCTAGATCCATCTGTTCAAACACTGGATCTTTGCAGCTGCAACGAGTCCTCCTAAAAGGCATCGAGCAAACAGTCGTGAGCGAGGGTACTATTATCTACTTTTCTTTTCCAGTCCGGACATGCTTCACGCACAAGACCATTAATTTTGTAAAAGTTGTCATTGTCACAAAAAAAAAAAAAAAGCTGTGAATATAAAAATAATAATTAGAAGCTTCTTTTTGTGTTATTTATCTTTGAAAGCCACTGAAAAATAGAACTAGTCCATTTTAAACAATTCACAGTGGTCCATAAGTTCTTCCCCACTTACCTTATGCATTCTGAGCATCCTAATTGTGCACTTCCTGACCAGAACGCTTTATAATTAGCTACAGACGGTACACAGCAGACTTAGGCTACGTTCAGACTGCAGGGCTTAACGCTCAATTCCGATTTTTTTGTGAAATCCAATGTTTTTGCGAGGTCGTTCACATTTCCAATTAAATGCGACTTGTATGTGACTCCAGTGTGAACATTAAACAGCCCGAAAGTGTCCCGCATGCTCACTGGAGACACGATGACGTCAACCGCAGCGAGCGTGCTCTGTGTTTACAGAAGTTGTCCAAACATGGAGCTATTTGAATGTAAAAAATCTGCCCGTTTCCCTCCGTTACCACTTGACCGGACCCCTCTGCTCTAAACCACTGTCACCATCACAGTAACTACAGTAACTCTAAGACTACTCGAGTAAGCAAATAATGAGGGAGAACAAACACTTAAAACATGGTTAAACTCCTGTAAGATGTTCAAAAGACCTAAGATACAAATATAAGACCTTCCAACCTAACATGCCTTTATCTGTGTGACCTCCAGGATCCACTGGGCTGGCACGGAGACGGCGACCCGCTGGTGTGGCTACATGAGCGGGGCGGTGCAGTCTGGACAGAGGGCGGCTCTGGAAGTCCTCCACGAGCTCTGCCCCTCTGCCCTGAGCCAGGAGGAGAGGGAGGAGGTGAGGAGGAGCTACGCCGTCAAGGACCCCCCGCCACCGACCCCTCCTCAACACCCCCCTCCAGCCGGGCTCACGCTCCTGAAGGCCGGGGCGGTGCTGGCTGCAGTATTGGCTCTAAGTGGTGCTGTCCTCCTCATGAAAAGTCCTGGAACTCTGGACAAAGTCAAACTGTACTTTACGAATGTGTTTCCAGCACTTGGGAGGTTGTGAGTTAGAGAGAGAAGCATTGTTATTCAGATGAAACATGTAGAGAAGGACATACTGAAAATGACAAATCCAAATCCACTTTATTTACAGAGCACATTTTACAAACAAAGCCATTTCCAAAGTGCTGTACAGAAAATGTGGTCATACCAGTTCTAAAACAATAAAACCAGTAAAAATCAAATAAAAGCAAAGCCAGAAAATCATAAAATAGCAATAAATAAGTAAAATTCATTATTATTATTATTATTATTATTATTATAGTTATAATCATTGGAACTTTATGTTATATTTTGGATATTTTAAATGGCTATGATGATGTAAACAACTGAAAAGAAGCAAGTCATCGGATTTCCAGGTTGGAAAATTGCAAAATCAATGAGATATTAAAAGCTAATTTGTCTTTGCACCTTTATAGTACAAAGTTGTAAAGTTCACAGTAGCAAACAGCAGATTTGTTGGTTTGTTTGTTTGTTTGTTTGTTTTTTAAAATTTGTGTCAAAATGGCTATCACTTGTATCACTGATTAAGAAAATAAAATTAGAGATCTAAATAAGTGAGTTATGATGAATTGTATTTCTTTGCTTCGTTGGATTTTTACTGTATTTTTCTGCCTTTAAGTCGCACTTTTTTTCATGGTTTGGGTGGTCCTGCGACTTACACTCCAGTTCGACCTATATATTAAAATGGTCACACTGACAGCCACGAGAGGTTCTAGGCTCGTGTGCCAGTATCTGCTACTCCTATAACTGATGCTGAGTCTGACGACAGCCACGCAGAAGAGGAAGCGGTGCTCCGTTTACCTCCAGAGGTTGTGGAGTTGCTCAGAAGTGACACTGAGGATGAAGAATTCAGTGAATTTAGTGATTGGGAGTGAGATGGAGAGTTTAGTAATCTTGTTCTGTTCTGTTGTTTATGCTATGCTATAGGTGAGTTTCATTGTTGACAATAGCGCGCGTTGCATGCTGGGAATTATTTTGGTCGGCAGCAAGAAACACTAATTCAACATGATGGACGGAGCGAGAAAGCACGTAAAGGGTATTGATCCCAGTTATTTATCCACTCTAACAGCAGAGGACCCAAGACGATTTGACCAGAAATTGGTCATAAGCATCGATGGAGCCAAATCACCCTTTTCAACCCCAACAAAAGGTGGACCAAACCAAATTTCTGGTCAGAATCACCAACTACCTGGACAAATATTCACTTCGGCGATATCCACAATGACTTGGTGGAAACTCCTGGGCCATTCACAGCAGAAAAGATGAAAACCTCCAAGACTCTCGATGCGTTGTTGAACTTGTTGGAGTCCACGGTTTGTTAGGATCTTCTACGTTTGCTCTGCGAATGTTTGAAAGTCGTTTAATTCACCGTTAGCGGTTCTTTTCACTCAGAATACGAAAAAGACATTTTCCTTCTTCTGTGCTTCTATTTGTGCATCCGATAATGCAGCAGGAATTTACCATTATCGGGGATAAATACGCGAGGTTACACACTGTGTTTGACCTCTATCGTGTTTCTTGACTCCGACCAAAATATTTCCCAGCATGCAACGCGGGCTTTTAATAACAATGACGTCAGCTGAAACTTGCCTATAGTTTATAGTTTATGTGATGTTAAAGGCCCTGTCACACCTTGATGATTTAACCAGCGTATGCCAACGTACCAGAATTCCATTAAAACGCTGGCATATGCTGAACCATCGATGTTTTTGTTTTGTTTTTCAGTTTTGGGCGTATACATAGCATAGTGATAATGAGTTGGACGTATACATAAAGTATTAGTAACTTAAATAGAATGTTTTGATAACTTATAGATAACTTATACAAACTAATGCTTAGTGTGTTGCCTGTGTCCCCAACCTATGCTTCTCACTGTCTGATATCCTCTGTGGCTGAAGTATTCTCTGATTAAGTGTTTTGGCTCACATGGGAGCACAAAGTTTGGAAAGAGTACTGACGGTTTCTCCTAAATATTGTTATTATTATTATATTATTATGCCATTATACGGTAGCTACAAGTTAGAAACACGTTCAGTAAGTTCTGTGGTCGTCTGGAACATGTCAAATACATCTGCATACGTCAGTATGCGTTGGAGATAAGGTTCGATATAAGTTACACACAGGTTCAAAGCATGTTACTCATAAGTCATGTGTACACTAGACATTTTCTCAACGTATTTGGATTTATGAGTAACTTACAATTAACGTGTGTCAGCGATCGCATAACTTACCTACAAATTATGGCCCGCGTATGCAGGACGTATAAACATACGCTGACATACGTCGAGAAATTTTCAGCATGCTCAAAATTTTTCGACGACCTTGCCCTATATATCGCCATATGCCAGCGTGCTTCAGCGTGCTCAGAACTTACACAAAACTTACCTAGAACTTATCCGACATACGCCAGAATATTTGCCAAATTTTTCATCATCAGCATACGCTGACTAAATCGTTAAGGTGTGACAGCGGCATAACAGCCTGTTGTTCTCTGTTTTATTGTTATTACTAGAACTTGCCTTTCAAGATGAAATGTCAGTTCCTGGTGTCTGATTTTATAAAATAAATTTCCCCAAAAAAGCGCGACTTATATTACAGTGCGACTGATATATGTTTTTTTTTTCTTCTTCATGACACAGTTTTTGGCTGGTGCGACTCATACTCCGGAGCGACTTATAGTCCAAAAAATATGGTACCTTGGTTCCTTGGACGTTGAGTTTGGAGCTCTGGGACTAAAAAGTTTCTAGAGCTTGTCTCCTCTACTTCCTTCCATTCAATTATGTGTTTTTATTACTTCAAGAAAATATCAGTACTTCTAATCATAGTGTTAGTTGACAAAAGTATACTGTGTGCCATTTTAGTATTAGTTTTAGTCATTATATTTACTTCTTTAAATTTGTTTTTATTTCATTTTAAAAGTTACCAAAAAATATTGGTGAATGAAGAAATATTTTAAAACTGGTTCAAACTGATTGGAAGTGCTGCGGTTTTCTTGGACAAGTAGTTACACCGACATATTATTGTGCTAAGACAATTAGTGTAAGATATTATTGCTGTATTTAATAGGTGAGTGAAGTGTTTTGCACAAGAACACAACACTGGAACAGCATGCAAAGGTCAGAGATGGAATCCAACTCGTCTCTGTTCTCCTCGTGCAATGTCCTTGAAGTCTGGACTACACAAAGTCAAACTGCACTTTACGAATGTGTTTCCAGCACTTGGGAGGTTGTGAGTTAGAGACAGTAGCATTGTTATTCAGATGAAAGATGTAGAGAAGGACATATCGACAATGGAGAGTCAAAGAAGAAAAAAAATCACAATTGTAGAGTTATCTTTGAGGAGAAGAAGAAGACTTATTGTGCTTTTGTCTGCTTTATAGTTATAATCATTGGGTCATTCTGTTATGTTTTGGACATTTTAAAAGGATATTTTGAGTTAGTAAAAGAAGCAAATGAGCTGATGTCCGGGTTGGAACATCACGGAACTCACTGAAGTATACTGATTCCTCTTTGCTCCTTTATACTGTAGTACATCGCCGCAAACGTCACAACAAAGTGCAGGACGGTTGTAGGCACCTCCTATGGAAAACTACACATCGCAGCAAGAACAAAGCGGCATTTTCAATTTTGCCAAAATGACTGTGAATCACTACTTAAGAAAATAAAACTGGAGAAAGAAGTAAGTAATAAATGATAAAGTGTACTGCTTTGCTTGACAGGATTTGTACGTTGGTTTCTTGGACATTGAATTTGGGGCTCTGGGACTGAAAAATGGAACTTTCTATATCTATGTCATCTCCAACAGTTCCTTTCATTTAACTGTGTGTTTTTTATTACCATATTTTTCGGACTATAAGGCACACTGGAGTATAAGGCGCAATAAGCGAAACAAACGGACGACACTTGAGACTGATCCTTAGCCCAGGCGTCCACGATCCATTGGCAGATCGTGGCGTAATTCGTTGCTTCCCTGTCTTGGTGAATGTTTATGATGAATGTGAATGTGGGTGGAGAAGTTTATTTTATTATTTCCTACGAGGAGGACTCAAATATACATTGAGTAATAATGTATTTAATGCAGCTTTGTGCCTATTTGTTTACGTTTTACAGAAACAAAACTTAAAGGGATAGTTCGGACATTTTGACATAAATCTGTATGGCCTCCCCATGAGCAGCGTCGTGCATCCACACTGACTTACCCCCGACAACGTCCGGTGAACCGAGATACTGGCCGTTGCTGATGAAAGTAGTCCTGCAAGTTGTCTGGGGACTGTATAATAAAGCGTTTTTCTTCTCAAAACAATCTGTGTTCAAAAGAGTGATACATTTGCATCACAAAACCATCGTCGCCTAAAAAGTCAGTCCTCATAATCGCTTGGCGCTATTTTCTCTCTGTTTGTATCACTGCGCGCTGCCGCCAGGTGACAGCCGCGCCTGGTTCACTTTGTTCACTGCTCGGAATGTTAGCGACAACATGTCTGATTACGACAATAAAGACTTTGCCTTTACACAAAGCCAAGGGGAGATCTTTGTGAACCTGAATATACTGATGCTGAAATTCACCAGATGGAGTTAGAACGGGCAGAGAGAGAAGAGAGACAGAGAAGTGGTACAAGTTGAAGCTGGAGCCGTGAGAGACCGAGTGAGCGACAATCACCATCATGTCATTTATAAATTCGTATACAGCGAACATAGAGCCTCCACTGTGACTGAAGCATGGACGACTAATAGAAACATGGAATCATCCACACGTCCACGTAGCTGCTGCCAATAGTGTATGCGACATTTACAATAGTAATAAACGGCCAGTATCTCGGTTCACTGGACGCTGTCGGGGGTAAGTCAGTGTGGATGCACGACACTGCTCACGGGGATGACATACAGATTTATGTCAAAAATCTTGAACTATCCCTTTTAAAACCACATACACTATAAGTGCTGAAAAAAAAACTGCTCAGGTCAGCTTGTGTCAGAGTAAAGGACACAACTCGAGTAGAATATGTGCGTTCTTTCTGCAACAAGGTGACGGCGGCAGTGTGCACTGAGTGGACACAGAACTATACTTCGCCCTTTACTCTGTGAGGGTCCTGACTACGGTCGTCGTAATGCTCAGACAATCCATCAAGCAGTGTGGCTTTGTAGCTTACCAAAGTTGTACTAAAATATTCAGACAGATTTTTGAGCGCCGTGTATCACATAAAATCAGTTCGAGGTCAGGAAGCACAACCAGAATTAATACATAAGGCGAATTGTTTTATAAGGCGCACTGTCGATTTTTGAGAAAATTAAAGGATTTTAAGTCCGTCTTATAGCCCGAAAATACGGTATTTGATGAAAATATCAGTACTTGTAATGATGTTTTAGTTGACAAAAGTGTACTGTTTTAAATAAGTTACTAATATTGACAAATTAAGAAATATTTTAACACTGGTTCAAACTGACTAAGATATTAAGATAAAATATTAAGATATTAATTGGACATTACTGGATAAACTATTGCTGCATTTATAAGGTGAGTGAAGTGTCTTGCCCAAGGACACAACTCCAGCATGTCC